AGAGATCAGTGCTGAAGCATATTAATATTGGAATTAGAACCAAAAATATTAAGCACCATCTTAGGCGGTAATAACAACTACAGCTTAGGGCAGGAGACAAGTGTAGTGACACTGTCTTGCATGGGTACTTATTATTTCTGCATGGGTATTTATGTCTGAAAATTCTCATTCAGTGTCTGACTGCATACACAGATGTCTAATTAGCAAAAGTAGTTTTGAGAAACCTGCAACCACAGGAAGTGCAAAAATCCTTAACTGTTTCTGAGTGCAGATCCTGAGGTGCTTTTAAACAATCTGTCTTTAGCAGGCAGTTGGGGTTTTTTATACACGTTATAGTGTTGATTCTGCATTATTTCAGCATGCGTGTACTTTCCTGCTCATGCTATCAGGGCTATAGATTTCCTGCATTATAGCAACAGTTGATTTTAAAATATTCCCGCAAAGAAAAACAAAATATTCACATGTTTTATTTTTCATTTTTAATGACATTCCAGGGACTTTAAATCTATACTTCAAAAGGTTCAAAAATGGTCTGATTGGAATGAAGAGATGGAAATAAGGCCACACATTGGATGCTGCAACCCACAGCTCTGCAGAAGGTGGGAGCATAACTGCTGAATGCATTAGTTTTCTCTGAGTAACTCCACTGGCTCCTGAAGTTTTTGACTTGGTGAGCCATTCAGTCAATGTATTAAGGCTGATGGTTAAGCAATAGTTGGATGAGATCTAATCCATACATCTGGAAACAGCTTGCATAACATAGAGAGTACGTGCAGAGGGGGCTGCTCCTATATTTGTGTCCCATGTGTTTGCTTTTATTTGATTTTGCATTTGGGTGGGAAAGGAAAAGAGGAAATTCTCTGACATTTTCACATGCCTTTTTTTTTTTTTTAAGTGACTCTGGGAAACAATTCAAATATCTTGTCTATTCAAATGAGGGGCTGTAAAATGACCTGATATCTCTCATGGATGCGGTATTGGGTACTTTTCTCATAGAAAGTAGTGCATAATGACATTCTCGTCTCTAACAACTGTTAATTCAATTATCCTGACAGCACCCTTGGAGGTAGATACCAAAGACACAGGAAGAAATTATAGATCCAGGTCTTCTGCTTTTCCATGTCTCTTCTAACTGGTAGGTAGCAAGAAATTGTCCTCTGAGTACAAAATATTCTGCTCATAAGCCTTTCTATTGCTCTGTGCCACTAAAGCAATCAAGATTCAGACAACCTCCTCCTGCACCTCTCCAGTCTGGCCCTTTTATTTCTGTCCTGATTTTAATCCAAAATTGTTAGGCTAGGCCCTCCAAAAAAGTATTATTGCTACAGAGGATTTTATGGCCTGGCAAAATATCAGCATTAGTATCTTTTAAAGACATACATAAAAGCTCAGAGGTCTTAAAGCTCTCACAGACTATGAAAACAGAGAAATTAAAATAAAAACATTGGTAGTGATTAATTATACCCGGATTAACAAAATGCCAGGCTTTGGTAATTGTTCTAGGACCCTCAGGAGAAAATGAATTGGCATCGTCCTCCTGGAAGCAGCTCACGCAGCAGGTCACTGTAGTCCTAAAAGATGGAAGAGGTCAAGGTTAAGAAACTGCCATTCTCCTCTGCTGGCAGGAGAGAGGTGCGGAAGCGGTGTCTCTGCTGGCTCACTCACCATGAACTAAAAGAGAAGCATTACAGAGAGCTCCACAAACCTCCTTGTCCCACCGAAGGGATTGGAGGAGCTGCGGTGCAAAGGTGGTGCCAGTGGTAGTGAGATGACAGTACAGGAAAACTCCCTGGAAGGAGAATGGGATGTCGTGGGAGAAGCAGGCTCAGCAGGGCAGTTGGGGAAGAGAGGAAGATGCCAAGCAGGGCATGCAGGCAGGCAAGTGCCTGCAACCAGCTGCATGGAGATGAGAAGATGCTGGGACCAGAGGAGAAAGGAGATCCCACAGAGAGAGGACATGGAGCAGAAACCCAAGGGAGAAAGACAGAAATCGGAATGAGTTAGACCGCAAAGGAGGAGCTAGGGGAGAAGTTTCAAAGCCTGTATGAGGAGAAGGTGTTGCCAGCGACAAGCCTTCATGGCATCAGCTGCACTAGCAAGGGGCCCGGAGAGATGGACAATAAAAACAAAGCAGTATCTCCTACTGCACCGGGGTGGTGAGGCAGGCAGAGGGCAGCCACCTCCAGGGAAATGCCTCTGCATTTTGATGTCAAACCTTGTGGTTTAGTCTTTCTTACTTGAACGCTGCAGTGCACCCAGAGCCCCTGGTCGCCCAAAACTCTCGCTTACTCTGAATCCTCAGAACAAGCTCCAGAAGTTTTTTCTTGTGATAGTGCTTATGGAGAAAAGAATGTAATGGTGACATACACCAATTTCATGCCCTCAGGCCCAAGCCATTCAGTGACCTTCGCGTTTGTGTTATTGAGCACTATGCTCATGTAGTATCATGCTAGTTGCAAATGTTAGCATAACATTGCCTGAACATTTTGTTTCCCATAACTCAGCTCTGGTGAACCATGCTCAGAGAGAATCAGGCTTCAGCATCAGGAACAAAACCAGTACCCATCACTGGCCTGCCAAAGGACTGCTTTCCTGCCTGGTATTCGGCATAGGTAACACATGCTGTGTTGCAAGACAGACACATTCGTGGTAGCACAGCAGTTTCTCACACTGTGGAAGATACTGCTTCATAACAGGTCCTCAGTTGATGCCAATTTATAAAACTCCACAAATGAAACCTGTTTACACCTGCTGGAGCCATTCTCCTTACATTAAAGTATTAGGCTATTGTTTACAAGGCTGAATGGATATTTTGTGCATGTGTGTATGGTTTTTCATTTCAGATTATGCAAACAGAAAGTGGGAGTAAGAATCCCAAAAGTCATATATAGCTTGGATCAAAATACAAATGTGAGGACAAGGCTAAGCGTTGTGATTCAGTGGCTTGGACCCAGCCTCAGAAGAGGGAGCCCTGGATTCCCTCCTGGGTGCTACAGGGTCTGACACAAAGTGCTTCCCACTCACATGTGCCTTTTCCTCCTCCCTCGTGTGGTGGGACTTGTCCTAGGTCTCTTTGGGGACAGACCCAGCCATAAGCCACCTTTATACCCCACTTGCTACACTGGGATCCTGATGTTGGGGTGGGGGTTATTTCTAATGCAATATAAATCACCAGATGAAAGAGGGAATTAAAAACTATTTCTTTTGTGGCTGCTACTTCAGAATACTTTACTAGCTATATCAAGAGGATTTTAAAAAATCTTTCTTTATGAGCTGCTTTGTTTTCTAGAACAGTATCCTTGGAAATGACCCATTGGTTAAAACCAAAATAATAATAAATCCCTGTGGAAAACAGCAGTCTGATTTTCCGTGAATGTCATCACCTCAAAAGCCATCAGAGCCTGTGTTGTGTTTGGGTGGCAATGTGGAGAAGAGAACAGTTGGAGAAGGCAGTAATAAGATTACACAAATATACCATCAAATGCTATCCAGACTGCTGGAAAGTATATTTGTCTGTGTACCAGACTCAAATAAACAGCTTGCAGTGTGAATTCAGGCCTACGGCAGGTCATGATTCTATAGTTCACATCAAGAAAGACTGGTAAAATATAGCTACACTGTAAAAACGGAATTGGTGGGAAGAAATAGCTACATAGTAAAGAACTAACCCCAGAACTCAGTGGTAGTAAGTTCAGGAGCTTCAGATAGCTGTCTGAGCATTTACCCCGCTTGGTACCAGAGGATGCGACTAGAGGATGCATTTGGACGTTTCTATCCCAGCTGTGCTGGTAAGCTGTATTTTTCTAGGTGCCAGGCAGCACAGAACATGAACCCTGGCACTTATGTTCTTAGATTAAGTGCACTTGAGGCTTCTTTCCACGTCGCTCTCATTAGCCCAAACTCGTAATTTCTAAAAAGCCTGCGAGGGGTGGCCCAGAGCCTCTGGTATGACTTCGGGGGAGAATCAGCCATGGGAACTCACACCAGCTTTTTAAAACAATTGCTGGAGGATCTCATGGGGGCATTTTTCACAGACTAGTAGAGGGGCCTGCAGTATTGCAGGGGTCCTTCCCCTTGGCCTGAGAAACTAAGGCAGCAACGGCGAGGAGTGGAAATGCAGTTGAGACACGTGGAAATGTCTGCCTGTCCTCAGCTTACCTACCCTTACCATAGTGCGAATGTGGGACAGGCCTGCCCCTCTGCCAGTGCTAGCGGGCCACGAGGACCCAGGAGGGCTGTGGCAGGTTTTGAAGGCAGTTTCCAAGGTGCCTTCATACTTCTGCACATGGTCCTGCCACTTTATTAAATTCTTCTGAAGTTGCTCCTGACCTACACTGAGTACTTCTCTATTGACATCAACTTTTGCCACTTCACTATTCACCCCCAGGTTATTATTAAAGCATTAAACAATATTGGTCTGAGTCCTGATCTCTAGGGCACCTCATTATTAATCTCTTTCCCTACTAGAATTGGCCATTTATTCCATACCCATTTATAACCAGATTTTAATCCATGACAGGACTTTACCTCTCACCTTGTGGTTACCAAGTTTCCTTAACAGTTTCTGGTATGGGTGTTTATCAAAAGGCCTTTGAATGTCTAAATAAATTATATCCTTTGGTTGTCCTTCACCCACTGTTTTATTAACTCCTAAAAGTGTAAAAGGTCTAACTAGCAAGATTTATTCTTATAGCAGCAAAAACTACTTTTTGCCTTTCCTGGGGACTTGATATTTCCCTGCAGACTGTAAAATGTTTAGAGCAGCGACTCTTTGAATGTTGTGTGAAGCAGCACCAAATATATTTGTTGAATTAATGATAAAAGTGAATGTGATATATTAGCAACTTTCTCAGCTACTTCCTTATAATGAAGCAAAGCTAATAATGTAAAATTTCCATGAGCTTGCTCTGTCTGTGTAAATATTTACAGGGTCTTTATCGCTGCAGTACCAGGGTTCCAGGCGCTTTAATGGAGTTATCCTTACAACAGCTCTCTGATACAGGGACGCATTAATCCCGACTGAGTGATGAAGAATAAGGGCGCACTGACATCTGGCATATAAAAAACCAAACTGCTGTGCTTTGAGAACACAGGCTAAGAGATAAAACACCTTCCCCCACTTACAGATGCTGGACTCACAAAAAATGCAAGAATCATCACAATGCGTAAGTGTAATCAAAAAGGCACAGCACCCTAGCCCCTCTTTTCGCAAGCTCTCTAAACCCAAAGTTTAGTTTTCCTTTTGGAAATGTGTAGAGCACTGCAGGTAGAGCCCAAGCTTTTCCTTTTTGCACGCTGTCTGTGCTTGCAGGATTTTGCTGGCTCTGCTAGTGACCATTTATTTTGGACTCACACCACACACCCAGTGTTTCATTATGCATTTTTGCTGTAGCCAGAACTAATACAATTGGCTGCATCTCAGCTTGCTTCAAATATACAAGGGAGCAGGTTGACTGAGAGAAAGGGAAGAAATAACATCAAAAAAGAAATCTCGTTTAAAGTAACAAGCACCATAAAGATTTCTCCATGTGTGAATGCTCACAAAAGACTACAGAATATACATGTGCAAGGGCCTGCCTCCTCTCTCACATCCCTGAGAAAGAGAGGCTTTTCAGTCTCCTTGAAGGGATGACAAGACCCTGGCAAAGCAAGGGATGACAGAGAGTTTGGAAGCGGAGGAGCTGTCACAGAAAAGGCATGCAGAATATGGACTTGTGTTTTCAAGGGAGTTCTGCCCGCACGACTGAGGCTAGGCTTTCCAAAAAAAGCTCTGCTTCCATGTAAACAGCCAGAACAGGTGGCCAGGAATTCAAAAGGTTATGAAGTCCTCGCAAAAAAATTAACTCCTAAGTGTCAAAGGGGGAGCAATGTGAGCGCAGAGCACTTTGGGAAGAATAGACTTCCCTAGCACTAGCTCTGCAGGATCCCAGCTCCCCCAAATGTGTTTCCAGTTGTGGTTTTTAACTGAGATCTTGATGCTCCCTTGCTTGAAAATCTGGCACTTGGTGTTTGGGCCTTGAATCAAAGCGCTCTGAGACCAATAGCGGGGCTCCTTTGAAAATGCCTGCTTTTGAGTATAAAAGCTAGGGCTGGTTACGCTTAGCTTGGCAAGGCTCATTGGCTTACTCATTGGGAGTAATGAAATCGCACGCGTGGCCGGGCTGGGAATGTGCAGGGAGGTGGGCACAGGCGCAGCAGGCTGTGCGTGGCTCGGGTTGGATGCAGATGCCCAAGCTTCTCATTCCCATTGTCCATTCCCGAAACACAAGTTTTGCCTCCAGGATGGCCATGGTTCCTGCAGCAACACAGTAATTTCCCCAAGGAGCAGTCAATATATTGCCACGATCTTAATCTTATTTAGTGTGGTAGCATGGTTTTAATTTTTCCGTGTTTGATCCCTCAGCTTTAGCAATACTGATAGAAGTAAGGACTGTGAGGATCAAATAAAGAGCAGCTTGTTGCGTAGGAAAAAATGCACTTCAGTCCTCGCTCTCTCCGCGGTGATTCAGCTTTTCCAACTGCGCTGCCGAGATAAAAGGCTCGCATGTGAGCAGAAGTGTTAGCAAGGTCGGTAATGCTTTCAGCGCACCGTCTTGCAACAGCCTTGGCTGCAGGAGCAGATATAATCTATTCCTAAATTTCCTTCAGCGGTGGGGAGGCTGGGGAGGGGGGGGAGGAGGAGAGAGAAGGAAGGAGGGAGGCAGCAAAATGTTTTTGCCTGCTCCATTTTCATTCAAATAGCTGCGCTTCACCTCCGCTGCGTCCCCTCGCCCCAGCCCGAGCCCCGCGGGGCTGGCCCGTACTGCTTGCATGTCGCCGCGGCCCG